TCTCTTTAATTCAGTTCTTGTCATACGTCCTCATTTCTCTGTCGCATCAGGTATTGTAATGTCTTGCTTTTACTCTTTCTGAGACATTTTATTGAGCTAGCTTGCATTCGAGAGATGTCCTTGCATCATTACTCCGTATAACAGAATAGGGCTGGTCATTGTCTTATAAACTTTTATCAGTGTACTGTTTGTTGTCCTGTTTTCCAGTTTTGGGAATTGTTTCGCATATTGAAATGACTCACATTTCTTCGTCTTGTAGTAGATGCTCGTCAGTGCTATTTTTATTATGATTCATTTAACTTCTAACTTTCGACTACTTTGTAGATATTTTCATATTAAAATTCTTACTCAGTCTGGGTATTTGTAGATGAGTCTTTGTCACTCATTTTCAAAATTTTGAATTATCAGGTACTCATCACCAAAAAGTATTGTTTTTATCCGTGTATGTTTATCGATTTGTATACCTGTTTATTGATTATATTCAAGGTATGTACTTTCTGAATCAATCTGTTTTATCTCGTTATGGTTATATAATTAGGTATATTCCACGAATATACGACTGGTATACGACGTAAATTGGTCTAATCATTATTCCAATAAAAAGAGTACTAGTATGACATCTAAACTAAAATTATTTCAGTTAAAATCTACAAATAAATATAATGACGTCTATGAAGCCAAATGTCTTCATCAGACATTTGGGTAAGGTTTCGTGAAATGTAAACACCAAAGAGGCGTGCCGGGTTTCTTTGATATTACACTATTTTATTACTTTATTAGGTATTACAACTGTAATAAAAAGAAATATACTATTTTCAATATAAATGAAAAGAAATTGGCAGAACGATGCATACCGGCTATTGATAGTTAAAGTACCGAGTCGTTACATATAAAAAGTCATTAAAAAGATATTAAAAAGTAACGAAAATTTTGGCCTATTTTGGACACGTAGTAAGGGGAGACCGATATAATATTCTTTAACTTATTATGATGGGTAAAATCGAAGGACGTAGAGAATTGGTAGAAAGCAGGCCTCTTGGTTGAAGAATATCAGGGAGTGAACAGGAATAAAGAAAGCTGAGCAACTATTTAGAATAGCTCGAAACAGAGACAGTTTCGCCATGTTAATCGCCAACGTCAAGGGGACTTGATAGGGCACGTTAAGAAGAAGAACGAAAATTTATATACAGTTTCATATATCGCCCACTGATTATGGCTGTGAATCTGATCGTTGATGATAGTTTTAGAAGATTAAGAGAATAAGTAAGTTTTTTTTTGTTTTTTTAATACTAATTGAATTATTCACTTAAGTATTGTTACACTTCGTTTAAATCACATAATTCAAAAACCAACTTGTTTACAATACTAAACTCCATGATAGTAATTATACAGATTGAACCAAATTAAAACGGAACATACAATTTAATACATGTCTGTTTGAACTGCATTTAAAATAGTGGACCAATATAAAACTTGGACAAAAATAAATCCATACCTGGGTATAGACATTGTATAAAATATCGTTCAACTATCGGTCTCACAACAAAGTTGTTTGCGTAAGACAGGTTTGTCTAAGGAGGCGAAAATAGTTCAGGAATTGAAGCTCGAAAAAAGTTAAAACCTCGCAATTTTTTCGTCATGCATGTATCCATATGAAATTTTAGCAGAAGGTAGGTAATAGCCCAAGGATCAAAATCTATATCGAACCGAAGTGCGCTGAAGGGTTTTTAGGGGTGAAAACTACCCCTAATTGTCAAAAATTATAAAATAACATATTAAACCTGAATATGGGTAAGATTTGGTTTGAATTAATTAAATAATGATTATTTTATACTTTTGAATAGAGTTCCATCATATTTCAACCCTTAAAAAGCAACCCTTGTTAGAGATTAATGTAAAAAATTACTAATTCTAAAAAAATGATTTCGCCTTGTATCATTTGGATAAAAATTTGGATTTAAGCTCAATTCACCCGCTGCTTTATAGTTTATGTCATGTCGACGAACCTGATTGTTCTTAGGGGTGAAAACTACCCCTAATTGTCAAAAATTATAAAATACCATATTAAACCTGAATATAGGTAAAATTTGGTTTGAATTAATTAAATAATGATAGTTTCGTGCTTTTCAATAAAGTTCCATCATATTCCAACCCTTAAAAAGCGACCCTCATTAGAGATTAATATAAAAAAATTAGTAATGCGAAGAAAATGATTTCACCTTGAAACGACTTGCATAAAAATATGGAATTAAGCTCAACTCACCCTCTGCTTTATAGTTTATGTCATGCCGATGAACCTGATTGTTCTTAGGGGTGAAAACTACCCTAATTTTCAAAAATTGTAAAATAATATTACAAATCCTAAGATGAGTGAAATTTGGTTTGGATTAGTTAAATAGTGAGTTTTTTATACTTTAAAATACAAATTCATACATTTTCAACCCTTAAAAATCAATTGTTATGAGTGCTATTTATAGGTGAAAACAATTTTTTGCCAAAATTTTGCAACTTTTCAACTTTTGAAAATCACCCTTTACAACATTGAAGTTTTTATAAACTAATTTATAAGATATAAATTGAAAAAAGTAGAATTAAATACAAAAAAAATTATCAACATAAAAAGGCACATATATTCTTATACATTTACATAAATAGTTAAAAATATTTACATTTATAGGTAAAAACAATTATAATATTAATTTTATTCGTCATCAATTACATCTTCATCGTGATCTATGTCATCATCATCTTCCTCAATTATTGGTGGACTGTTATTGCACCCTTCACCTGAGCACCCAGAACAAGTAGAGTTACAGTATAAACCAACTTTTCTGCACCCATATGAAACGCCGCATCCTTTTTTGCATTGGCAAAAAATAATTTTCAAAAATTTATCGGGTGCAGGTTGTTTGTTCATGCGTACGGGTAATAACAAACCATCTTTGGAAAACCATCCCCAATCTGTTGCTCTGATATTTTCATTGCCAAGCCATGGACATATGAGCAGATGTTTTATTCTGTTGTATGGGATTTCAAAATAAGAACGCTTAAAATTTCGAATGTATAACGCCCCACTAGCTAATATACCGGTTTTGTAGATTATTATGCTCCGAAATGTACTGTACTATACTAATGGAATTTTCCGGAAAAAAATTAACTGGTTTTTTAAAGTATTTCCTTTAATTTTTAACGATAGATGTTTTTTCAAAAACGATTTGTAGAGGTTTTTAATAGCTACAAGGATCTGTGAATTAAATCTTTTTGGAACCTTGGTTTTTAAATGGGGTGAGTTTAAAGGGCCCGAAAAAGATGGTGCTTGATCGTAAATCGATGCTTTAAACGGCTATATCTCGCCAAATATTCATTGTACAACAAATCTAAATAAAGGATAATTTTAGTCATTAAAAAAGCTACAATTTGGTAATTTTTATTTTTTTCATATATTCAGTATTTTCTGGCATATTTAAAAAAAGAAGGGTAAAAAATATGAAATTGTAAATCGTTTCTCGCTTTAAGCTGTACTTTTTCTAAAACTAAGCATTTTAAATGGGTCAAACTTCTTGGAAGTATTAACAATACATCTACAAAGGGAATTGCAGAAGGGTGAAGATCGATTTTAATTATGGGGGTGGTTAGGGTGTTGTTTTCCTCGATTTTTTCGTAAAAAATGAGGTATTGACCTTATTTTTTTTATGATAGGTCTATTTATGCTCTTTAAAAAAGGTTTTGTGAGTTTTCTTCCAAAAATGCATCATTTTCACGATATTTGACTTTGAATCTTTCAAATTTGGCATTTGAAGAAAACCGCTGAACATTGATATTGTATTTGTAATTGTATTTGTCTTTTTAAAAGCTACAAATTTGTTCTCTACAATTTTTTTGATAAAATGCACCATTTTCGAGTTATTCGCGAAAAATCGATTAAAAACGTGGATTTTTTCGTCTAAAAGTTGTTACTTTCAATCGCGAATAACTTGAAAAATATCATTTTATAAAAAAACGTATAGCACATTTTTTGTTTAGAATCACTTTTCTAATCGAAACCTGTAGTTAAAGCGTAAAAAAAATTTCACCCGGAGATGGGGTGGCAAACACCCCCTAGGCTTTGGCGCACTTTGGTTCGATATAGATTTTGATCCTTAGGCTATTACCTACCTTCTTTTAAATTTCAAGTCAATCCGCGCCGCACGAAAAAATTGCGAGGTGAAATGCTACATTTCCTGGACTATAACTGGTTTGACAGCATAATCGTAGATTTATGTGTAGCTTTCAATTTTTATGAGTTCAGAATCCAGCAGCCCACTGAAGTATGGGATTTTTTATAATATAATTATTTGACAATCTTTTGTTGGCCAACCAGCTACAGCAGAATTGAGCCGAAATACATTATATTCCTATGTTCCGAATTTATTTCGTTCAATCTGTATACATATATAATCTGAATTACATTTGTTATATAAACTATTAACTTTATATTTATATCATGACTTCGTATTTAAATATAAAGTTTATATCTGTCATAATAGTATCTTAAAAATGGGGAGAATTTACTATTGTACAATAATTCAGCACATTGGACCATTTAAATCGACACCTTAAAGCGAATTTAAAACAGTCATATATTCGTGGAATGGAGTATACCTATAATTTTTCCAATTTTAGTTAATAATAAAAATATGTACAGTTCTATAGTTTTTAATCTTCTCGTTCTCTTTCTGAGAGAGCAAGAGCCTTTCCATTTTATTAAAACGGTTAAAAACAAATAGAAAACTAGTTGCTATAGTTGAGCTACTGTGAGATACCGTAGTCTTTTTTGCCAGTCGTTCTTGACGGTTGTCCATCTCCGCTATACAAGATAAAGAATCAATACAATATCGTTTTCTTAAATGCGTATCACACCGTAAGCATTTGACAAATATACTGTAAACAAAAAAATGAACGAGACAGGGCAGCTATAGGTATCTTCATTATCCTAATTTATATATTTGACTCTTTTTCAGACAAAAATGAACTGGAACAAGCGTCGTCGTTTTTGGAACAAGCTGCAGTGACCAACCTACTAGAATTCATCAAAACTCTATCAGATATATTAAGACATGGCGGAAATAGCCCTGTCGCCCGAATGGCTGCAGGTTTGCAGTTAAAAAATCAACTCACCTCTAAAGACTCCAACATAAAAACCACTTACCAGCAGCGGTGGTTAGCTTTCCCAGAGGATGTTAGGGGGTATATTAAAAATAACGTAAGTGCCGCTGTATTTTCTTATTGCCACGTTTATTTCTATTTTTTCTTTCTATTATTTGTGTAGTTTGTGACAGTAGTGAGTAAAATTCTGCATTCAATATTTTTTACCTGAATTAGTTTGTAAAGATAGCTCTGGAGATGTATCGCACGTCGCAAAAAGAGGCGATGAATGAAAGTCATAATTACAGAACAAGTTGACGCTACAAGAACACTGTCACTAACTTAATTTAATAGCAGTTCGAACTTTTACAAGAGCTTGTGGCATTAAAAATGCTTTCAACCATTCTTCAATGTGTATCAGGTCTCGTCATAAGAATATTCTACTTGTGGCAATTATGGATGTTAGGACCAATACACACCGGCACATGTGTGCTTTGTAGCAATAATGGCGTTAATTATCTCACTAGTTACTCTTCTAAATTATACTGATGGTAGTGACAATCTAAGATGATCTCTTATTATTTCTGGTCATTGGTAATGGTACAGCCATAAATGCATTAGCTACGGACTTCACCAGAACATTATGTTAATAGTACCTATGGGTGTTTTACTTCTCGAAGTCGATGAAAATGGAATTTATTTGAATTTGTGAACGGGTGATACATCTCTGGAGCTAACAATACAGCTTTCAGACCGATGGGTTGACCACATATACGGTTTTAAAGCGTTTTAACACATTATATGGATACTTCAGACATTTCTACCCCTTTCAGACAATTATGCGTAACAAACGTCGAACATGCGTCAAAAAATCATTGAATATGCGTCGATTATGCGCCAAAAGTTGAATATGCGTAAACAAGTGTTGATTATGCGTCAAAAACGTCATAATTATCGATTATGCGTCAAAACGTCGAATATTTGACGCATAATCGTCACATATCGACCTTTTTGGCGCATAATCGACGCATATTGTACGGTTCTTGACACATAAGCCACTGGGTGGGTTCAAAGAATCCGGAACTGTCTTACCCTCTACTGTTTAGAGTATTTAAACCAGCATTAACGTCGTAATCGACCACATTGGTCCCTTAGTTGTATTATTGACAGTGAACTGTAAGCTCTTTGTCAGAAAACATCTTTTATAACTTTTTAAGGCGGTATTGTTATACACATCCCCAATGTTTAATTTTCAAAAACAATCTATTATAAATGTTTCTTGTACCATTCGCCGAATACGCGTCTAATATGCACAAAAACGCTGATTGTGCGCCAGAAACGTAGTATGTGTCTATTAAGTTTCAAAATGTAGAAGTATTTAAAATCTTAAATATTCAAGGTTTTAATGCTTTCTGTGCATATCCAACGTTATTTGACGCATAATCGTCACATATTCGACTTTTTGGTACATAATCGTCACATATTCGAAGATTTTGGCGCATAATCGTCACGTTTTCGACGTTTATGGCGCATAATCACTGGACACCGTCGTTATTTGACGCATAATCGTCACATATTCGACCATTTGGCGCATAATTGTCACAGATTCGAAGATTTTGGTGAATAATCCCTACATATTCCATATTTTTGGCGCATAATCGTCACCTATTTGACCGTTTTGGCTCATAATCGACGCATATTAGACGGTTTTTGACACCTAAGCCACTGGACAGGGTCAAAGAATCCGGAACTATCTTACTCCTCTACTGTTTAGAGTATCTCAACCAGCACCACCGTCATTATAATGAATGTTTTGCGTACCATTTGTCGAATATGCGTCAAAGACGTTGAATATGCGTCTAATATGTGTCAATTATGTATCAGAAACGTATCAAAACTCATTTTATGAGTCTATTAAGTCACAAAACGTAAAAAAAGTATTTAAAATCTTCAATATTCAAGGTTTTTAATGCTTTCTGTGCATATCCGACGTTATTTGACGCATAATCGTCGCATATTCGACTTTTTAGCATATAATAGTCACATATTCGAAGATTTTAGCGCATAACCGTCACGTATTGGACCTTTTTGTCGCATAATCTTCACGCATTTGACGTTTTTGGCGCATAATCAATGGATATCCGTCGTTCTTTGACGTATAATCGTCACATATTCGACATTTTTGGAGCATAATCGTCACATTCAACATTTTTGACGCATAATCGTCACATATTTGATCTTTTAGGTTCATAATCGACGCATATCAGACGGTTTTTGACACCTAAGCCACTGGACGGGGTCAAAGCATCTGGAACTGCCTTGCCCTCGACTGTTTGGAGTATCTAAACCAGCACCACCGTCGTAAGTGACTACATTGGACAGAAAATAGCCTGTTATGAGTCCCTTCGTTGTATTATTGATAGTGGACTGTAACCTTTTGCCGGAAAAAATCTTTCATAATTTTTTAATCTTCTAAAAAATATCTATAATGAATGTTTTGCGTACCATTTGTGGAATATGCGTCAGAGACGTTAAATATGCGTCTAATATGCGTAAAATACTGCAGATTATTTATCAGAACCATAGTATGAGTCTATTAAGTCTCAAAACGTAAAAACAGTAAAATATTCAAGGTTTTTCACGTTTTTAACGTTTTTCTGGGCATAGCCGACGTTATTTGACACTTAATCGTCACATATTCGACTTTTTGGCGCATAATCGTCACAAATTCGAAGATTTTGGCGCATAATATTCACGTATTCGACGTTTTTGGCTCATAATCAATGGATATCTGTCTTTCTTTGACGCATAATCGTCACATATTCGAAATTTTTGGCGCATAACCGTCACGTATTGGACATTTTTGGCGCATAATCGTCACATATTTACCTTTTTGGATCATAATCGACGCATATCAGACGGTTTTTGACATCTAAGCCACTGGACGTGGTCAAATCATCCAGAGTTGCCTTTCCCTCTACTATTTAGAGTATCTAAACCAGCACCACCGTCGTAAGTGACTACATTGGACAGAAGATCGCCTGTTATGAGTCCCTTCGTTGTGTTATTGCTACACTGGACTCTAAGCTCTTTGTCAGATTTATAATTTTTAGGGCATTATTGTTTAATCATCTTTGATGTTTATTATTCTAAAAACCTCTATAAGGAACGTTTTGTGTACCATTCTTGTATGGCTTTCCAAAGTTTCTTTTGTTAACGACTGCAATAGTTTAGTAACACTTTTATCTTATTATTTTACCATTTCTGTCTGTCTAGGTTGTGTGCGCACTTGGAACCGAAACAAGCAGACCTTCCTCCGCCGCTCAGTGCGTAGCATACGTCGCAGTAACAGAACTACCACAAGGGCAATGGCCAGATCTCATAGCAACTTTGGTCAACAATGTATGCCACGCAAATTCCACAGAAATGCAAAAGGAAGCCACATTAGAAGCTATCGGTTATATATGCCAAGAAATCGACTCAGACGTTTTAGTATCTCAATCAAACGACATCTTAACAGCCATAGTTCATGGAATGAGAGCATCGGAACCGAGCAATCACGTACGTTTAGCAGCTACACAGGCCCTACTAAACTCTCTAGAATTCACAAAGGCCAACTTTGACCAACCGACTGAACGGAACTATATCATGGAAGTCGTTTGTGAAGCTACGCAGTCTCCAGATTCACAGATCAGAGTAGCCGCTTTGCAGTGTCTAGTTAAGATTATGTCTTTGTATTATCAGCACATGGAACCGTATATGGCTCCTGCTCTATTCCCTATCACTCTCGAAGCCATGAAGTCTGAAAACGATGCCGTGGCTCTACAGGGTATCGAATTCTGGTCTAACGTTAGCGATGAAGAGGTTGATTTGGCCATCGAAGATACGGAAGCCACAGAAGCAGGTCGACCACCTACAAGGTAATTATTTTTTATTATTTAAGAGGTAGTTTAAATGTAATTGACATTTCGTTTCAGATGTTCACGGCACTACGCCAAAGGTGCATTACAGTATATAGTACCGATTCTGCTGCAAAAATTAACGAAGCAAGAAGAGCTGGACGACGAAGACGATTGGAACCCTTGCAAAGCAGCCGGCGTTTGCTTAATGCTCCTCGCGACGTGTTGCGAAGACGAAATCGTTCCGCACGTTCTGCCATTCATCAAAGAAAATATTAAGTCTGATAATTGGCGTTTCCGGGATGCTTCGTTGATGGCTTTCGGATCTATTTTGGGCGGCTTGGAGAGCACTACGTTGAGACCGCTTGTTGAACAGGTATGTTATAATTCAGAGTAGTAGTTTGACGCTCGAATGACATCAAAACAATTTTTTGTCCTTTACGGGTTAAAATTACCATTTTCAGATCGTAATATATTTAAAATTCGATAAAATCGATTTCCCGAATTCTTTCCGTGTTTTAGGCCCAACTATGAAAATCATTATTTTAAAAAATATCTCCGTACAAATTTTTTTTCCATACTTGCTCTAAAATTAACATAAAACTACAATATATACACTTGAGGCGGTAGCCACAAAAGGGCTGCTAAAAGTGTAATTTAAGCAACAATGATTAAAAGATTTAACATTCATGTCTAAGGCGAACACTTGCATTAACAACATCCCATTGAAAATTTCCATAAGGGCCTATAGGCCCTTATTCTGCCACCGCCTCAATTTTTTTGACAAAATACTTTTGAATTCCAGTGTTAAAAGTATTATTCTTATACTGTAACATGTTTAAAATGCAAAAGAATGATGTTCCTGCATTTCCCCATGTTTTTGACACATAACCTCAAAAATCATTGCTTTAAAAATTGTCTTAGTACAATTATTTCACACTATTTCGCGAGCTTGACTTCTAACACGCGGTGTATATGTTCTCTTGATCCACTGAGAAGACATGTTTCGGCAATTGACTTTTGTCGGATTTTTTTGTTCGAAATGATGAACTGTATGTTTATTTTTTAAAGAAAAATACATCAAAATCCGTAAAATAGTTTCGAAACACAATTCAGATTTCTTGCAAGGCAAACAGACGTTGATAACAGATGTTAAAAGGGACATGGGGAATCTAAAATTTGCATTCCACGACATGTCTTTACAACTAAGCAGAAATCCTTAGCGAATTGTGTTTCTTGAACTCGTACAGAGCAAATCCGAATAAAATGAAAAAGACAGCAAATATTTGATTTCACGCAAACAGCGCCTATGTATCTGTTAATACGTATTTCGACCTAATAGGTCTCATCAGAACAGTTATTCACAGGTGTTCTCAACGTAAAAAATAAATATTTTCTTTTAAGAAGCAACACTAAAATGGCTTCAATACGGACGCAATAGCGACATCTAATAATAAAATCCGTAAAATAGTTTCGAAAGAAACTAAAACTGTTGCTTCTTAAAAGACAGAAAATATTGATTTTTCACGTTGAGAACACCTATGAATAACTGTTCTGATGAGACCTATTAGGTCGAAACACATATCAACAGATACGTAGGCGCTGTTGGCGTGAAATCAAATATTTGCTGTCTTTTTCAAAAAATATGTTACTCTTTTAGTTAATAGTCAATTGGGATTTTATCAAATAAACATTTTTCAGGCGATGCCAACCTTGATAGATCTGATGTATGACAATAGCGTTATCGTAAGAGACACAGCAGCTTGGAACTTCGGCAGAATTTGCGAAATCATTCCGGAAGCAGCCATCAACGAAACCTTCCTCAAACCGCTATTGGAAAGCTTGATCACAGGCCTCAAGGCTGAGCCTCGAGTTGCCGCCAACGTGTGCTGGGCATTCTCTGGATTGGTAGAGGCAGCTTACGAAAATGCCGATGTTAATGAAGAAACCGGTACTCCAGGTAAGTCGGCCAATGTATTTTTGTGATTTTTAAAAAAGACTTATTTTGAATTAGTTAATATTTATATTAAATTCATTAAAATCGTTCATTTTTAACAATCTAATATATTTTTTTTTTGTTAACTATTTCTTCACTTTTAATGGAATCGGAATAACACTTTAGACATTTTTTCTTTTATTTCCGAAAGAAAATGAAACAAAACTGTTTTACTCGCAAACTATGATGGCTAAATATTTTTACTATAAATCATCTTTCGTCAAGCTTAAGTATCCCAGATCGGTGTAATATTTTAACTCAAATTTCATATCCCAACTAATTCAAAGTGCGAAAAACCCTTTTGCTCTTATTTTTCATATTTTTGGCATATAACCACGAAATACATGACCTTAAAAATTGTCTCTACTTACTGTTTGAGTAATGGTTAGAATGGACATTTCCAAATTCTGCAATTCCCAAAACGGGAAAAAAATGGTTTTTTTCCGAATTTGTTCATGTTTTGGCACATATCCATAAAAACCATTAACTTATCTGCATATGTTTGAGTAATAGTTATATTGGGCATTTAAAAATTCTGATATTTCCAAAATGAGAAAAACTTTTTTCTCCGAATTTCTTTCCAGGTTTTGGCACATATCCATAAAAACCATTATCTAAAAAAAATTTCTCTGCACAGTTTATTGTTCCATACTGTTTGAGTAAAGGTTAGCATTGCCATTTTCAAATTCTGCCATGATCAAAATGGGAAAAACCTTTTTTTTTCGTATTTTCTTCATGCTTTCGCGTATATCCATAAAAAATATGACCTTAAAAATTGTCTGCACAGTTTTTTGTTCCATACTGTTTGAGTAGTGGTTAGAATTGCCATTTCCAAATTCTGCCATAATCAAAATGGAAAAAATGTTTTTTTTTCGTAGTTTCTTCATGCTTTTGCACATATCCATAAAAAATATGACCTTAAAAATTGTCTTTGCACAGTTTTTTGTTCCATACTGTTTGAGTAATGGTTATAATGGCCATTTCCAAATTCTGCCATTCCCAAAATGGGAAAAAACTGTTTTTCCATGCTTTGGCACATATCCATAAAAACCATTATCTTAAAAATTGTCTCTGCACAGGTCTTTGTTTCATACTGTTTCAGTGGTGGTAAAAATTACTTCTCTGGTAAGGGCTTTTCAAATTCTGCCATGATCAAAATGGGACAAATCTGTTTTTTCGTATTTTCTTCATGCTTTGGCACATATTCATAAAAACCATTATCTTAAAAATTGTCTCTGCACAGTTTTTTGTTCCATACTGTTTGAGTAATGGTTATAATGACTCTTTCCAAATTCTGTCATTCCTAAAATGGGAAAAAACTGTTTTTTCTGCATTTTTTAAAATTATTATCTTATAAATTGTCTCTGCACAGTTTTTTATCCCATACTGATTGAGTAATGGCTAGAATGGCAATTTTCAAATTCTAATATTTCCAAAATGTGAAAAACGTGTTTTTCCGAATTTTTTTCATGTTTTGGCACATATCTATAAACACCATTATCTTAACAATTGTCTTTGTACAGTTTTTGTTCCATACTGTTTCAGTGATGGTTAGAACTACCATTTCCAAATTTTGCCTTACTTAAAATGTGTACAACTGTTTCTTCTTTACTTTTTCCATGCTTTGGCACATATCCATGAAAACCATTATCTTAAAAATTGTCTCTACACAGGTCTTTGTTGCATACTGTTTCAGTGGTGGTAAAAATTACTTCCCTGATAAGGACCTTCCAAATTCTGGCGCACAGCAGTGATTATAATAATTATTACTATTTTAAGATGCCAACTTGCTCAATATCCTTTTCCCCAATTTTTTCATGTTTTTGACACATTTGAAACCATAATATTTTTTGGTTTAATTTTACATGTAATTAAACTTAATGAAAATAGAAGAGTAGAATGAAGAGTTGGTTACATTGCGTAATAACAATCATGAGTTATTTCCTAAAAAAATAGTATTACGAATTAATGTGTACGTGGTCTTTCAGCTGGTGCACAGAGTGGTATTTTACATAAAAAAACAGGCTAAATATGTAAATTTCAAAAACTAGCATTTCGGGACAATTCTGAACAGGTAGCTGTAGTAGCAGGAACCACCACCACTACCAAATAGCCTTACGGAACAAATTTTACAGCATTCACTTCATAACACGTTTTGGCTGGGTTTAGTTGTGAGATTTTACTACACTTTTTGGAACGATTTGCGGTTTTGGATATACCACACGAAATTTAAAATTCATAAATCAACTTGTACTACTCGCAGTATTTTCGTTTTTATTTTATTTTGTGAAAACTTTGAAACCTGTTTATGAAAGTAGATAGTTTTATCTTTATTACGAAATTACTCTTATGCACTATCCATGAGTAGAGGGTAAGTAAAACCATTAATTTATGTAACAATAAAATACTGAAAACTTTGTTTTCAAACTTCCACAAAATTTATTTTAACTATTATCACTACAGCTGTTTGGGCTGATAGCCTTTCTCAAGTGATCTATTTTTGGCATGCGTTTACAATTTATAGACTCTAATGAAATAGGTTGAGGAGGCGAGAACTGTTTGTCTCAAGTTGGTCATTCAGAATTATATCTGTGTTTTTTTAATTTATTGATTTCCATAGATTCTAACATGAAGATTCTAACGTGATTCTATTCATTGAAAACAAAGTTTTCAGTATTTTATTGTTACATAAAATGAATTTCCATCAAGTAACGGTCGAATCCATCAATCCATTAATTTATATTGAAAATTACACAAAAACTTCAATTAATCCTCCTGGTTGAAGTTCTAGAAGGGTAAGATTTTAAAAAATGATTCAATATTGAAGACTTGCCTTCCTCTGGTATACCCATAACTGTCCCTTACACGAAAAACACTTGAATCATAAAAATAAAATGTAGTAAAATCTCACAACTAAAACCCAGCCAAAACGTGTTACGAAGTGGGTGCTGTAAAATTTGTTTGATACGGCTATTTGGTGTGGGGGCGATTTCACACGACTTTGCATATACCTAACTACTTAGTTTAGCGAGAAGAAGCTCGTTTAAATGGTATATAAAATGTTACGTACGGTACAACTGTATAGTCCGGTAGTTAGACTTTCTCAAACGTCAATATCTCCTCACCTTTCTATTCTGATTTTTTCGTTTGTCGTTTTCAGATACTTACGTCTTGTCACAATACTTCGAGTTCATTATACAAAGACTGCTTGAAACAACGGACCGACCCGATGGCGCCCAACACAATTTACGACCTGCCGCTTATGAAGCTCTCATGGAAATGGTGAAAAACTCACCGAAAGATTGCTACGTCACCGTGCAAAAGACTACAATGGTTATTTTGGACAGATTACATCAGGTAATGCCTAAAAAAGTTTAAGTAAGTTGCCTTATATTACACAATTATATTACACAATTACAAAAAAAAAACACAATTTTCAAATTAAGAGTCCTCAACCTAAACATTACAGCCACAATAACATACTATATTGAATGTCGTTTATATTTGTCCTAACATACCCTAATTATGTTATATATGACAACAGGTCTTACAGATGGAAACTCACATAAGCAGCCACAACGATAGGTCGCAGTTCAACGATCTCCAGAGTCTTTTGTGCGCCACCCTTCAGTCCGTACTCAGAAAAGTTACTCCGGAAGACGCGCCGCACATCTCAGACGCCATTATGACCGCCATGTTGACCATGTTCAATTCCAATTCGTGTAAGAGTGGAGGTATGTATTAAAAATATCCTTATTGCAATATTACAAGATTTCTTTTGCGTTCATCTGTAAAAAGAAACAACATGTGAAGCTCATATTTTAGTAAATATTAACCCTTTATAGGTCAGAATTATTTTTTGGTAATATAAACAAATTCTTTGCAGATTATAGATAAGGAATGATCCGTTATTGAACTTTCATTCGTATTTTCATTTTATTTTCACTCCTTGTTGTTTTTTTTAGGGGGTTGAAATTTCGACTACAGCCTGATTAAATAAATGCAGTAGTTTGCGCCTCTAAGGGCGAGTTGTATAAAAGCAAGCTTAAAGTTGGCTTAGTTAAACCGTGGCTTAAAGTTAAACTAGCTTATCATGCAAACAGTGTTGTATAATGCTAATCCTTGTGATGATTTAGAAAGCGCTTGATTATGTCACTTACACAAAGGTTGGTATTAAATCTGTCAAATAGATGTCATAATGTAAATGTTCTATGATAATTATAACCCAAATAAAAAGAAGATTATAACCTATTAAAAAGTTTGTATTATTCTATCATTGTTTTGTTAAACTCAAACTCAATAAAATTTATAATAACGTTGTGCAAAAATTAATTGAATATGGCTAATAGGCAACGTTCAACGAATTTTACTGAGACTGAAATTCAACTGTTGGCAGCTTTAGTAAAGGAACATATGAAAGGGGTAAACAAGGAAGAAATCAGGAAGGAAACATGGGATAAAATTACCCAAAAGTTTAATTCGCAAATAGGGGGAGTCTTCCGTTCAAGTAAAGTATTGAAAACAAAATATAAAAACTTGCGCACAACAACTGCAAAAAAATTTGCGGATATAAAGCCAAAGAATATAGACGCTTAATATTCTTGATAAAACGGTCACACAACAAATATTAAAATTTTTAGGTTGACATTAGTTGAAGTTGACAGAATAAAAACACAAATGTTTAAGCGCGTGCTTAAAAGTTAAACCGTCGCTAAAGCTGGTTTACAGTTAAGCTGGCCAAATGTAGGGTTTAAAGTTTTATACAACACAAATCGAACTTAACCTCGATTTAATCTACATGCTTAACGTTAATCACTCTTTATACAACTCGCCCTAAGAGACTCGGTAATGTCTAATACCGTTTTAGCGCTTAAACCATATTCAGCATGTTGTGATTGAGATTTGCCTTCATATATGCTAAATTTGTGCACGTATCCACTTTCGGAGCATGCAACGACCCAAATTTTAAAGCCTCTTTTTATGGGCTTTTTCGGCATATATTGTTTGAGAGAACTTCGCCCCTTGAAAGCAACGATACTTTCATCTACCGCAACATTTCTACTTGTATAAAAGTTCTCTTGAAAGCGTTGCTGCAGTTCTGTTATCAAAGGCCTTACTTTGAACAGTTTGTCAAAATTGGGGCTATTTTGATTTATTTCCATGTTTACGTTATTGTTTAGATGGAGAAAACGAAGAATTTTTAAGAATCGTTTTTGCGTAAAAATTTGCGAAACTCTTGGCACGTGCATGTTAATAACAGTTGACCAATAATGTCTCAAACTAGGTAGTTTATGAAACCCCATGATTATAAGAACCCCTAGAAATGCTTTCAGTTCTTCCTCAGTTAGGTCGAGATTATTATGATTTTGTTGTTGAGCATAGAGATTTGACTGTGTAATTATATTAGCTATAATATCTTTGCTCATGAACAAAGAAAACACGTCGAATGGTGAATTTATATTGACCGGTTTTGCTGGGCCAAATGGTCTGGTAAACGGCGCATTCGAATATTTTTGTGCATCAGAAGCGTTCTTTCTCCATTTATATGTATCATCGCACTTTACTGTGTTCTCTTAGTTCTCTTCTATTTCTTATCGTCAAAAATGCGATTTGTTCTTACCTGAGGGTGGAAAGCTATATCATCCATTGAGTCATCTAAATCAACATCAAGAAATTCAACCTTGTCATCATTAGACAATGAAGTAATAATCGCGTTGGATGCAACCGACGTTCGGTTGGAAATAGGAAGATTATCTTCTGCATCAGAATCACCCTCAAAATCTGAATTTATGGCTTGTTGATATGGAATACCATCTATGTAATCAAATAAACATCCTGAGTCATATTTTGTAAATTTTCAAGTATATTGCGGTGTTCCATTTTACTGCAAAAGATACGTACATTGTTGTATACAAATACTTGAAAAATTTAATTACTTGATCTACCGCACAGCAATTTAATTCTTGGAAATATTATTCAAGTAAGTCAGATTTACGTAAAAAAAGAATATAATTGTATAGATTTAAAATAAACAAGAGTGAAAATACATTTCAATAGAACAAAATTGTAAAATCATCATGTGCTACTTTGAGGTTATGTTTAGTAAATCAAGATATATCATCTTAGCGCCAATAAAATCTGAATAGATAATAAAAGACCATAATACTGTGATGTGTTACGTTGAGTTTGATGTATAAATCTTTTGTAAATTATTTTTCTTTTACAAACGGCAAAAACCTGTGATCACGTTCAACGGTAACTTACATAATATGATGGGTTGTGGTTGGCGAATCGACCACATTGCTGCCACGTTGCCGTATTTTGTTCTGTGGTGTTCATTTTGGGTACAATTCATTTACAAACACTGAATTTGCACTTCGGTAACTTTTCATGTCAATTACTAGCTCATAAGTATTAATAAGAGCAGTGGTCGAAATATCGACCACATACCTATAAAGGGTTAACAAATAAATAAATAATGACAATACAACATATTTACAACAACTGCATGATGAGGCATGTAGTAAGCTAATTGTTCTCCTTCATCAATCGCACTCATATGTCCCGATTGTAAGTATTCTTGCATAAACATATCATAATCGCGTTTTAGCTCGGGATTTTTAAGAGCCTACTCTCTTGTGAAAAATATCTTTGTAAAACACTCTTACGTGAATCACCTAGATCTGTTAAATGTTTCTTAAATGGAATCGATACAATGAATTTATTGTTCGCTGATAGCTTGAATGTATTTTTGAAATAAGTTTCGCAGTATTGCTCTTCTGAACGAAACGTTTTTATACTAAATTGAACATCTTCTATCTCCCAGTATTTCAACAATATTTTATCGATAGCCTGCTCCTGGCTCAACTCGCTGGAAAAATTGCTAGCATACTTATCTACCTGGCTAGACGTTGAGCTTAATTAAAGGGCCGCCCAAGATCCATCCTAATTTTGTCTCCTGTAGAACAACTTTGCCATCTTCTAATTGAATCCTGTCCAATTGTAATATTTCCCAGAATACAGATGATCCTATTAATAGATCAATTTCTCTCGCTCGATTGTAAGTTTAATTAATTAACTTCTTTTCTGAAAACCCTTTGGATCTGATATTTTTTAAAACAATAAATTTATTCCTTTTATTTAATATGACCCAACTCCAAAATTCTCACTGATACAGTTTGAAAATATCTAAAATTGTCTGCTATAGTGGCACAACTCGAAAGTGCCGGTATTGCACAGAAACTTGATTTCGACACGGTTCGACTTCCATTGCACAACTGAAAAGGGTCAGTACTGCAGAAATAATTTATCTCATCTCAACCGACAACATGGCATAGCGACGTTTTGCGGAAATTTTTGCTGTTAGTATTGTGCCAGTTTTGCAGGCCATAAATAAGGATTTTTCAAGTCCTTTTGTGATGTTAACCCTAGAACAGCACAGTTCGTTCATCTAACATAGACTGCACAGTGGGGTCTCGAAAACCCTAATTGTTTTTTTTTAGTAATAAATGTTATGAATTTTTTTTCTGCGGTATGTAGTACAAAACAACAAACAACAATATCTTATTTTCAAATATATTTATTAAAAAAAAACATTTCTCATTAGATCTGATAAACGTGGAAAAACATAAACTAGTGCTTTTATTACACTTTATTGAAAATATGGAGATACGACCAAAAAAATTAAACAAAATTCCAGTGAAATAAAACTTTTCTCTTAAAAGCCCTTTAAACTAAAATAAAATATAAATGTTGTTACAAGATAATTATTTCTTACTCTTAGCCAGGCACTTCAACTTTGGTTCTGACACATATAACATAATTGAGCCCGATGTTCTAAACAGTACGGTTTGTGGCACAACGAACAAGCAGAACTCGTTTTTCGATCCCTTCCACGAGGACAAAAGCAGCATCTAACCTTTTTAGGCAAACTAACATCAAAATTATCTCTTTGAGGTACACCAACTCCTAATATTTCGCTAATTTTTACACGTAGGGTTGTTGGCAAATTGGTAACTTGTAGTCTTTCCCTTAAGTGCGGTTCAATTAATGCAGTTGAAAGTTCTTTTAAAAATGTTTTTCTATCGTGTTTTCGGTCATCTTTCCATTGGGGATTTGCAAGTGAAAATAGAACCATAGCATTTATTCCGCTAGCATCCAACATATTGAAAAACATTCTGAGAGGCCAGCGTCTAGTTTTACGGGAAGTCGTGTAAGAGTGGCACATCTGATCAAAGGTGTCTGTGCCACCCTTTGTTTCATTGTAGGAATGTACAAGATTTGGTTTTCCGGTCAAGGTATTAAGTGATGAATCAGGATGCAAAGTTGATAAAAGTAGTACCACTTTATTTTCCTTTGGAGTGTACGAAACTAGCGTTTTGTTTCTGTCGAAAGCAAATATGGATGTGCCTACATCTTTTTTTTGTGTAACTTCGGAGGTATTTCCCTTTTATTTTTTCGCAACGTTCCAAGGATTGTTAGCTGATACTGTTCCATCATTTGTTCACTTAGAGGTATTGACGTGAACCAGTTATCCATTGTTATGTTACGGTGAGTACCGTGTATTGGTTCAGAAAGTTTTCTGACATAATATGTAGGAACTGACTCATTATTCTCAACATCAACTTTTCCAACGTATGGAATGGCATTCAGCATATAAAATGTCTTCGAATCATTTATCATCATTACTTTCATTCCATATTTATCAGGTTTGCTGGCCATGTAAATTCGGAATGGACATTTTCCACGAAAACTCACGAGCTGCTCATCAATTGTACAGTTCTCATAGGGCGTGTAGTATAGCTTGCAATTATTTATAAAAATGTCCCATATTTGGCGAATATGGGTAAACTTGTCAACCATTTTCTAGCATTTCTGTCTGTTTTGTCGTCAAACCTCAAGCAAAGAGCTAAAAACTGAAATCTTTGTTGGGGCATGGTTGCCCGAAATAGCCCATTGCCATATTTTATTGACCAAAGCTCATCTAAATTACAATTTGAGACTCGTAATGCACCAGCGAGATACAGCAAACCAATACATGCTTTGACTTCTATGTTGTTGGTTATTTTTTTGTAACTCTGCGGCAAGCCACTCTGACACTTCCTAAGAATTTCTTGATTTGTATGCAGCACAATAATGTCCACAATCTCTTGAGAAAATAGTAAATTCCAAGATTCAACAGGGCTACTAACATTTCTTGCTTCATTTTTTAGACCAGGCAAATGTAAAACGATGTTATCCTTTCTTGGACGTCCTTGTCGTGCTGGTGCCTGTGTGGTCCAACGATGACCATTTTTTCCCAGTATACTGGCGATATTTCTTTGCGAGGTATTGGGTTCTGTTTGTTCTTCTTCATTATCGTCGTCACTTTGTTGTTCGTTATCAGTGTCAGACTGATGTTCAGGAACATAAAGATCGTCTTCATCTGATGAGTCTCCAAAATCATCTTCGATGGTCTCTGGTTCATTTTCATTCGCCCACAGGTTTTCAGCTTCCCACTCTAATTCTTTTCTGGTTAGTGGACGCTGATATTTTCTCTTAGAATCTGCCATACTAGCAAATAACAAAAAATCACCTCAAAATTTTTAACACCGTTTAACTGCACACTGGGGTCCGAAGTACCCACAGATCTACTAAAAGCGTCACAGTAAAACTATACAACAAACTTACGCGGCGCAGCGACTGTCTCTCAACGTAGTCGGCTCTTAACTGAATTTACGTGCAAGGGATTGCCAAAAGACGCAGACATGCGCAAGTTACATTGAACGATTCATGCGCCTGGGTTTTTCAGACCCCAGTGTGCAGTTCTAGGGTTAAGTCAATTTTGTCAATTTTTGAGTTAAGCCACTATTGAATTGACTAATTGAGGACTTTTCTTTTGGTAGGTGTTCAAGAAGATGCTATTATGGCCGTCTCGACGCTGGTGGAAGTCCTGGGAGAAAACTTCATAAAATACATGGACGCCTTCAAACCCTTCCTCTACCTCGGATTGAAGAACCACCAAGAATACCAAGTGTGCGTTACAGCAGTAGGCTTAACCGGCGATATCTTCAGAGCCCTCAAACTGAAAGCGCTACCGTACTGTGATGAAATAATGACCCTATTACTAGAAGATCTCCGCGACCAGTCGGTTCATCGTAGCGTAAAGCCAGAAATTTTGGGCGTATTCGGAGACATCGGTCTTAGTATCGGCTCCGAATTCAAGAAGTACCTCGACGTGGTTCTGTCCACTTTGGCTCAGGCTTCGCAGGCCCAAGTCGATCGCAACGACTTCGATATGATCGACTATCTCAACGAGCTAAGAGAGGGAGTTTTAGAAGCTTATACCGGCATCTTACAAGGGCTTAAAGGCGACGGGCCCACTCCACATCCTGACGTTTTGATACTTGAACCCCACATTCCATTTATTGTTCAATTTATTACTGTCGTAGCACAAGATACGGAACATTCTGATAGTATTATAGCTGCCGCAGCTGGTATTGTAGGTAAGTAAGCTTACATTTCTATTTTATATTATATTAGGGACGAAATAGTTGTCAGTGGCGTCACTTGAAATTCAAAAACAATTTTTTGGGAGCAATATTAATTATTTTTTATATTAATCAGGTACTTTGAAAAATTAAAATCGCTTAAGTTAGTCGGGGGAGTTTTTTAAATGGACTATAAAAGTTATTATTTGTTCTAACGATATAAATATTTGATTTTATTAAATAATACTCTGATTCTTTGATTTTTTGTTAAACCGGCAACGTCTAATATCATTTATTTATTAATTCCAATTCCTAATTGAGGAGTTTGCTGTAAGCAGGATGCAGCTCCGGACCTGCATCCTTTTTGCACCAATCGATTGTGAATGTTCGGTGATTTTCGTGAAATGCAAGGTTGTCTTCTGTTACATTGGTATACATCCCGGACGAAAAAATGAATTTTTGGAATCCGATTTTGTCATGGCCAAGCACATCGGCATTTACAGAAGAAAACTAAAAATTTGAACTGAAATTTAATTTTTAATTTATGATTTAATTGCTTTATTTCATGTATAGGACATTGTTTTATTTCATTAAAATTAATTCTCATAAAATTTTCTGTTTATATATTGATTTTTTTCCTTTGTCATCATCATCTTTAGCTCGACAATCCTCTGTGGATCTTGGCCTGCTCTAGATTCGTCGCCATTCTGTTCGGTTTCTGGCAACATGTTGCCATCTTCTGATTTTTAATATCCATAAGACAGTTTCAACTGTATCTAACCACCTAATTCGCGGTCGGCCTTTGCTTCTTCTTCCTACAGGTGTTCCTGTGGTTAGCTTTTTAGCAATCGTATTTTATGGCATTCGTATTATGTGTCCAGCCCATCTAAGTCGCTGTGTTTTAATGAACGCTATGACATCTGGCTCATCAAAGAGCTGATACAATTCAAAATTATATCTTCTGCGCCACTGCCCTTGGTCGTTTATAACTCCAAATGTATTGCGGAGTCTTTTACGCTCAAATATTCCCAAAAGTCTCTCATCTTTCTGCGTTAGAGTCCATGTTTCTGCTTCATATGTGAGGACCGACCTCAGCAATGTTTTGTATATAATAATTTTAGTTCTTCTTTGAATGTTTCTAGAGTGGAAATGCTTTTGGAGTACATAGCCTATTCTTAAGTAGAGTAGAGTAATTAATTGTAAGATTTATTCGTCTTTTGATTTCTTCCCTTGTTTTATTGGTAGCAGTCAATAGCGACCCAAGGTATGTGAAGTTGTCAACACGTCCAAAGGTATGACTTCCAAAGACTGTTTCTCGTTCCTCATTTGCTATCGGATCCTTTGTAACCAACATGTACTTGGTTTTGTCTTCGTTGATGACTAGACCGACCTGTTTCGCCGCTGTTTCCAATTCTAGGAGATATTGCTCAACATCTCGCTTGCTACGCCCTATTATGTCAATGTCATCAGCATATGCTAAGATTTCTATCGATCTATTGTAAATAGTACCGCCATCCCTAATTCGTGTATCTGGGACTGCCTTTCCTAAGGCAATATTAAATAGGAGGCAAGCCAGAGCATCCCCTTGTCTGAGTCTATCCTTTATCTCAAAGCATCTAGAATTCTCTCCCTGTATTCTAACAGTGGCTTCTAAGTTAGACATTGTCATTCTCGTTACTCGGATAAGTTTCTCTGGTATACCAAACTCATGCATTGATTGGTATAGGACTGTTCTCTTGACACTGTCGTATGCGGCCTTGAAGTCGACGAATAGGTGATGGGTTTCAATATTGAATTCTAATGTTTTCTCGAGAATCTGTCTTATTGAATGAATCTAGTCAATTGTTAATTTTTCTGGAGTGAATCCAACTTGATATTTACCAATTATACCTTTCGTAGAGAATATTTGCTAGTATTTTGTAAGCAGTTTTTAACAGGGTTATACCTCTTTAGTTGTCACACTGGAGTTGGTCACCGTTTTTATGTAACGGGCATATCACGCCTTGAGACCATTCACAAGGCATGGTCTCATTATGCCAAAAAAGAAGTAAAAGCTTATGCAGTGTCTGTAGTAGGGCATCGCCACCATTCTTGTAGAGCTCACTGCAAATTTGATCAATTCCTGGTGATTTATTATTTTTAAGCTTTTTAATGGCTTGGGCAACATGTTCGATGGTAGGTGGTCCTTCGTTTGTGTTGAAAGGATTCCAATCATTTCGATTTGCTAGGGTGTTATCTGCTTCTTCGATATGATGGCCATTAAATTTTGCATCGAAAAATTCAACCCATCTGTTTGAGGATTGAGACCGTATCATTTAGGATGTTTCCTTCTACATCCTTACAGCTCCTTATTCTTGGCTTAAACTCTTTGCGCATTTTGTTTAGATTTCTGTAGAACTTTCGAGTTTCATTTTGATTTCTTAGCCATTTTGTGCTTTCCAACTGCTTTTGCTCAAATTGTCTTTTTTTTCTTCTATGTAATCGTTTTTCTTCTCTTTTTAAGGTTCGGTATTCTTCTTTGCTCGTCTTGTGCATCCAGCTTGATTGGTCTTTAGTTATGCCCTGTTTTTGTTATCTGTTGCTTCTTGGAACTCCTTGTCAAACCATTCGTTTTCTTTAACTGGTTTGGTTTTCCCCAATATTTTGTTGCTTTCTCAGTTATTATGTTTTTACATTTTGTCTACAGTTCCTCTACATTTTCCCCCACCTCCAGGCTCTCCATTTCCTCGTCCATTTGTCTCCTATACTCTCTCGCAACAGTTTCAATACGCATTTTTTTTCCTTAGAACTTATGTACTTAAAGTTTCTTGTGTACAGCTGTTTGAAAGGGAACATATATTATCCTTAACACAAAAAAATTCTCTACCCTCTCCTCTTAAAATATTTTTTTATAAGTATGTAGTAGTCCAGAATGTACAGACAATTAAGAGGCGGAAACTTGAATATTTCGGTCATATATTAAGAGGCCTCGTTATGGGCTACTACGTTTGATTATAGAGGGCAAAATAAAAGGTAAAAGAGATGTAGGAAGAAGACGAACCTCCTGGCTACGAAATCTAAGGGAATGGTTTAGTCTGAGCTCTAGCCAACTATTTAGAGCTGCTGTAAGTAAATAAGAATTGCCATGTTGATATCCAACCTTCGTTAGAAGATGGAACCTTAAGAAGAAGTCCAGAATGCCTAATCACATAAACCTTAAATGAAAAAAAAATTAATACCAGTAGTCTGTTTGAGTTTACCAAGTTTTTTGTCCCTCCTGAAAATTGGCAAAACTGTATTTGTTGCCTTTCTGCAATTAGCGATTTATATATTTATAGGTTAAAAATAAGAAACCTTATTTATTTACACTTAGTACGCCTGAGTCAAACTATTAGTTGGAAAATAATCTTCATACCAGAATGACTATTTGAAAACGGTCGACAAATCCGCAAGAACATCTGACCAGACAGTTGCAGTTTGAAATTAAACGTTCACGAACAGAATTATTTTACTGCGCAAACTCGTGCGTTGTAAAACCGTTTCCAACTACTACAGAAACAAACCTTTTATTTTTAGCTTTTGTTGGGGTAAAATCGCTTGTTTAGATAACTCGCTTGCGTAAAATTGCTACACCAATTTGTACTTTATTTTTACTGAAACAAACTTATAAAAAACTCATTTCCAAAAAATTGTACTACTACTCTCAAAATAAAGTCTATAGCTATCTTCACGTTCTTCTTTTTTCTGCGCGTGTGCTGTCACTTTTCAACCAAGTGCGTGGACAACTGCACTCTAACCGCAAACGCACTCATTTTTAATTCTCCGTAACAGCTTTTTTCACACTACACTTGAGGTTCTACGTCCACCTATGATTCGGTTCACTTTTAAAATTTATTTTCCACTATTTTACTTCAATCAACGGGTCTGAAATATGCTTCCAATAAAGTGTTTTTGACATGTAGTGTGCAAGCTAATTTTTTAGAATCGTTTGCGAAATCGGCATTAATCGTTGCATTATTTCTAGGTGATATGTGTAATGTTTTCGGAGCTCCAATGGTTCAATTCTTAGATCTGGATCCTATTAATGAAATGTTAGCACAAGGTAGACGTAGTCGAGTAAATAGGACTAAGACTTTGGCCACTTGGGCCGTTAAAGAATTAAAGAAGCTGAAGGCCGTAAACACTGCGGCTGCTGCTAGCTGGTAAGTATTATTTACACGAAAGATATTTTATTTGAAGGTGAATGAAATAGTTTTTAAATTAGAGAATATCACTATAATTCCATAAAATTTTGAAATTTGGCTGATAGTCCTGGCAATTTTCTGATTTGTCAAGAATTACATGCAATACTTCTCGACATGACTAAACTAGCAGAGGCATTTGGAAAGGACTGTATGTGAATGATTCTTTCTGTTGACTTTTTCTGGGAAATAGTCAAACATACAGCTTTTCAAGGCACTCAAAATTACATATTTAGAAATCTCTTTAGCCAAATTTTTAGTTCCCTAGATAGCCTCTATCTCAAAAAATGTTCTTGCGATCCTTTGATGTCAAAAATCTGAAAAAATTCACGAACGTAGATTTTAATGCCCAAAAACACTCAGAATTTTTCAATAAATATTTAAATTATGTAGGCAATTTTTGGTCATCAGCAAGCACCAAAACAGAAGGGTGAAGGTCAATGTCGACGGAACAGATCTGGAAAGAGTAACAAGAACAACGTGTATGGGAAGTAATCTTGATGAAACTTGGGACCACTCACTAGAGATAAGAATACGCCTGGAAAAGGCACGTACAATGTTTTACAAAAATGCAAAAAGTTCTATGCAACCGCCAGCTGGGCATCTCATTGAGAACTAGAATACTTGAGTGCTATGTTTTCTCCACCTTGCTCTATGGTGTTGAAGCTGGACAATGACAGAAGCAACACAAAAAAGAATCCAAGCATTCGAACTTTGGTGTTACGTAAAATGCTCAGAATATCCTACATGAGTCATACGACAAATGCGGAAGTCTTGCGGAGGATGAATATAGAAAGAGAGCTTATGCTTATGACATAAAGCATAGCTTATACTTGGCTTAAAACCTACGGCAATGGACGAACATGACCTCCATAGAACTATTCAGGGCTGCTACAAATAAGATTAAATGGGCAAATGTTATGGCCAACGCCCTTAAGGATAAAGCACCGTAAGAAGAGGCAATTTTTGGCAAATTTCTAAATAATTATCGTTCTTTTGAATGGAGGTGTTAGGTTTTCCATTTTCGCTCCGAAAAATCCTCGTAATTCGAAAAAAACTTACGTTTTTCGGGATTTTCGAATTTTGAAGATTTTATCAATAATCTATCTAAACTTGAACTGAGCCGTTTTTTTAAATCATATACACTCAGGTGCAAAATAAGCAACGTAGAAATTTGGGTAAAATTCAAAGTATTTCAGTTTTTTTAATTTTAACCTTATTCTGACGATTTTTTTTAGCACACTTTGTAAAAATTTATAAATTTTAATTTATCCTAGTGAGTTTTTTTAATAAAATTTTGTATTTGGCTTATTATACGGGTTTGATCGAAAGGTGGTTTTTTATTATAACTTTAAAACGTCCTGTGGAATAATTCTGTTAACGGATTTTCGTAAAACCTTGTTTTTCGGCTGCAACAATGTCTTCTAAGTATTACGTTTTTTGTTTCATGTGAAAATATGGAAAACAATTTAAATTTAACTTAACCCAAGTACACAAATAACAAAGAAAAATTAGTAAAAAATAACTTAATACTTTGTATTGCCTCCCCTAGCCTCTATACCTGCCTGTACACGTTGGTTCATGCTGTCTATGAGGTTGCGAATATCATTTTGCTGGATGTTTTGCCATTCCTCTTCTAAAGACAAGTGAAGTGCGTTAATTGAGGCTGGTGCGACTTCGCGACCTCTAACATTTCTACCAAGCATGTCCTAAACGGGCTCTATTGGGTTAAGATCTGGCGAACACGCTGGCCAGTTCATGTTATTAATACTAACTTCCTCTAAATACTGGGTGTCACACATTGCAGAGCGGAGTCGCATATTATCTTGCATTGATAGAAAATCATCGCTGATATTCTGAAAAAAAGGGCACTACGTGATTCGCTAAAATTTCGTCAATATACCGGTGTGCAGACAACAAACCCTCAATTAAAACCAATTCAGTGTGCATCTCTCGGGATATTCCTGCCCATACCATCACTGAACCCCCTCTATGGCTAACGCGGGGACTGAAAGTGCACTCCGCAAATCTCTCTACAGTTTGACGCCATACTGGTTCTCTCCCATCTGAGGAGTGAAGACAGTATCTCGACTCATCCTAAAAGAACATTTCTCCGTTGTCCTAAATTCCAATGTAAATGTTACCTGGAAAATTGTAGTCTAGCCACTCTGTGAAGTGAAAGTAATTTGAGGCCAGTTGCTGGTCTGCAACTTTGCAATCCAAATTCATATAATCTTCGACGAACTGTAAATACACTTATATTATTGCCTCGAACTTCTTGAAGCTGATTTCTTGTTTGCATCACTGTTAAATAACGATCCCGCAAAGCGTTGACTCATATAAAATGATCATCTAAAGCGGTAGTTTTGCGCTTCCTTACACTACGCTTTGGATTTTAGAGCGATCAGTGTATAGTACTCTAGCCACATATTCATAATTTCATCCATCTTCAACCATAGCAACGGCTTTCGCACAATCTTTGACACTAAGAACCATGATAAATCATAGGTAAACAAAATGTAAGTGTCAATATGACATTGATGTCACCAAAGCCATCTCGTCGTATTACAAAATACCTCAAAATAATCATAATTTAAAAAGTCCTAAATTGTGGGTGGCAAATTCATTTGACTCTAAAAAGTGAACCAAGGCATATTTTAACATAAAACAAAAAACACAATACTTAGGAGAAATGCTTGCAACTGAAAAATAAGGTTTTACGGAAATTCGCCAACGAAATTATTCCACAGTATGTTTCAAAGTTAGGATAATAAAACCACGTTTTAATTATCCCCGTACAATAAGTCAAATATAAAATTTTATCAAAAAAACTAACTATACCAAATTAAAATTTATAAATTTATACAGTGTTCTAAAAAATCATCAAAATAGGGCTAAAAATAAAAAAAATTTAAATACTTTGAATTTGACCAAAATTTTCTCTTTTTCGTTTTTTTGCATCTGAGTGTAGTAGATTGTAAAAAATGAATTCTAGGAATGAGAGCATTTTGTCTATCTTAACGGGGTATCCTTTTGTGTTCTTCCTATCTGATTATTATGCATAATTTGTTCTAATTTAATATTTTTTGTTTTAGATTCTTCTTGGCTGTTTAGAAACACCAAAGAGAGATCTACATCATCATAAAAAAATTTTCATGTTGATTTTTATTCAAAAATTTACAAAAAAAATCGTTTTAAATTGGTTTAATTAATTATTAAAAAATATATTGCAAACATACGTGGCCCGTCTCAGGTATATTTTAAAAAATGTCAAAAATCATCCAACATGAGAATTTGTCATAATAACTTTCAGATTAACTGATACTGAGTGATCATCTATCTGTGCAGTGCAAAAAAGGAACTCCGGAACTGTTTGGTGATATAAAATAGCAAAATGAACGCTTGTAAATAGTGTCTGTTCTAGTGCGCGTCAGCAGACCTTTCAGCTCAAGACTGATGAAAAGTGATGGCATTTCAGTATCACTTGGTGCGTCAGTTCATCATTTTTAAGTAATGTAACATGATAAAAATAAAGAATTTTTTCTATATTTATTTACGAATTGGTCATAGAATCCCTTCGAACCACCTTTTTTCCTATATTAATCGACATCCCTATCGACTCAACTAATTATATTGCGGCGGTTATATTTTGCCTACCGCATTGGGTATCACTTATAGGGGGTTGAAACTGGGGACACAAATTATTGGGCTGGAGATAGGGTAAGCAAACGGCTACTCTTGGTTTGGTTTGAGAGCTGGGTCATAAGTAAGTGAATAAAAGGGACGGAAAAGGAGTAACTACAAAGAGAGAAATCAAAAAGTACTTACAAAGATTTACTGGGCAACACAACACAAGAAGGTTGGCAGAGTATGGGGCAGTTTGACGTCACTGTCGGTAAGCATTGGATCTACATTACCGACCAACGCGTAACTTAGCATGATTCCGAACCTTTAGTCGTGACCTAAACCATATAGGGAAGGGGGGTAACAAATACGTTAACACAAAAAACAAAGATGGCGGCGTAATGCCAAAAGGACACTAAGCTTGTAATGGCTCAACGTACAACAACGTGCAAGGTATCGTCGGAAAGGGGTGGGGGTAACTAATACGTTAACAGAAAAAAAAAAATACGCAAAAGACAATGCCAACACTTCACAATATCTAATCTGTTGTTATTAGTCAGATTGTTCGATACACGTCGGGATGTGGGACCATGAGCATACGTATTGGTCGGGGCATGGAATATGAGGACACGTAACCTTGATAGACGAAAGAAGAAGAATTGACGCCATTTTCACGTTTTAATGATGGCAGTCGAAAAAGAAGTAAAATTAACGGCATCTTCACGTTTGAACGATGACAGATGAAAGAAGAATTGACGCCATATTCACGTTTGAACGATGACAGTCTGAAAGAAGAATAATTGACGCAGTATTCACGTTTGATCGATGACAGCTGTCAGTCGCTATCTTGTGACGTGGGAGTGGAGGGGGGTGTCTGAGGCACCGAACAACCCGAAGGTGCACTCGACTCGGCGGTAATTGTTCGCGCATCTGGTTTGCGCAGGTTAGCGGCCATATTTTAAGTTCACAGTCACGTCGTTGACAGATCATTTTGTGTTTGTTGTTAGGTTAGATCACTATTTGTTTATTTTGGCTAATAATTTGATTTTGTGCAATCGTAAACACTGTAATTGTACACTAAAAAAATGGCGCAAGGTCACCGAATTTGTCTGACAGCTACCAATGTAAATTTATCGGAGTGCACCTTCGGGTTGTTCGGTGTCTGAGGTATCCCAACCTCTGCTAAGGTTCTTTAACTATTTAAATTGGACGCCGTTTACAAAAATATTGTGGCTGGATGAAAAGATAGGTTTTTCTTTCCTAAAAAATACAAAAGGGTGAGACTTTTTAAAGGAAATAATACTACACTTGGTTTAGAGAGAAACATTACATATATTTTATTACTTCAGCATAACTTTACTTTTTCGAGTCTGGATCCGACTACAGTTTTTCTGCCCAATATCGGGCTACGGCTTGGTATTTGCGAACCATAAATCATCGAGGGTGCACTGTGATGGGCAAAGTCTGCATACTCTTAGGTGCTCCACGTTTTGTATTTCCCCACATTCACAGATTGTGCAACACTGTGCGCATGCGGTTGAGTGTCCGCCAGGTTCATTCCATTAGGTCGTTCTGGATGTAGCAACATAAACAGTTAATACATATAATAATAACAAAATTAAAAAACATAACTTACAATGGTGCTAACGGTTTACAACAAACTGTAGACGTTGAGGACACTATAGGAATTGTGTGTTTAAGTTGTTAAAATTAATAAATAACATAAAAATCTATATAGTAATAATGCTCACCTTTTCGATTTTTCACGTTCTTTTTTCATGTAGACATCTATAATCCTTTTACGCCCTTTCCTGTCTGGTGCCAACGTTATTGCTTTTTCTTGACAATCTATTATATTATTTTCCCAGAAAGTACATAAACAAAACTGAACACACACGTGTGCGCATACGGAGTGAACTAATCAGATTCAGACTGAAACATACCTACATTTACTGAGGTGACAACATGTAATAGAGCGCTGTTTGTAAGTTAATA